CACGATGCAGGCAACTGGCCAATCAGTTTTATGTTGATATGTACGTTAAGGTAGAAAGTGAACGATTACGATACATAACATTAAATCAAACTAAATTAAGAGCAGAAAATTATATCCACCTTCAAGACGCAGTAGCGAATGACGCTAATCTAAATCCAAATGATATTGGTAGAATGATAATTTTACCGTCTTCATTTGTAAATAGTCCGAGGTACTTACACGAATATACTCAGGATGCGTTTGCTTATGTACGTACATATGGTCGCCCTGACTTATTCGTTACGTTTACTTGCAACCCAGCATGGCCGGAAATAGTAAATGAATTAATGCCGGGTCAAAGCGCGATTGATAGGCATGATGTAGTCGCAAGAGTTTTTAGGTTGAAAGTTAAAAAACTTATGTCTGTTATTTCCAAAGGCAGAATATTTGGAGAAGTGATCTGCTTTATGTATTCCATAGAGTGGCAGAAGCGTGGCCTACCACATGTCCACATATTATTGTGGTTAAAAGACAAGTTGAGACCCGATCAAATTGATAATATTATCAGCGCAGAAATACCCGATCCAAGCACTGACAAGACACTTCATGATATTATAGTTAAAAACATGATTCATGGTCCATGTGGACCTGAAAATCCTCAGTGCCCTTGCATGAAAGATGGAAAATGCACAAAGAAATTTCCTCGCAAATTACACAAAGACACTGTCCACAGTGAAAACGGATACCCACTCTATCGTAGAAGAGCACCAGCAGACGGAGGTCGAACGGCATCTGTGAAACTACGAAATGGGAGTTACGTCACTATTGATAATAGTTGGGTGGTCCCTTATTCCGCTATTCTATTAAAAATATTTAACGCCCATATAAATGTTGAGGCTTGCAGTTCAGTGCGCGCTATCAAATATATCTGCAAATATATTAAACTGCCATTGAACTTAGCTCATGAGGAAATGCCAGTTTGTAACATTACTAAAAATAGTGACCGTGGACGAATGTTACAGCAATGTAAGCTGTTGGTTTGGGATGAATGTACCATGTCCCACAAAAGAGCGATAGAAGCACTAGATCGGACCATAAAAGATATTAAGAGTAACCAAAGTATCATGGGTGGTATGGTGGTACTTTTAGCTGGCGATTTTAGACAGACTCTGCCGGTAATTACTAGAGGCACGCCGGCAGATGAAATAAATGCATGTTTAAAAGCGTCTCCATTATGGGTGCATGTAAAAAATTTTTGTCTGACTACAAATATGCGAGTACAACTGCACAGTGATACACAATTGGTGCAATATGCGGATGCTCTTCTGAAAATCGGAGAAGACCGTATGGAAACAAATAGTGACGGAATGATTACATTGAATCGTGAATTTTGTAATGTTGTCTGTAACATGGATGACTTAAAGAATAACGTCTATCCCGATCTTGCAACCAATATGAAGAACAGACAATGGCTGTGCGAAAGGGCAATTTTAGCACCGACAAACGAAGTAGTGGGGCAGATCAACGAACAAATCATGTCAGATGTGGAAGGTGATTTTGTTGAGTATCTGTCCGTAGACAATGTCATGGACACTGAGCAAGTGACATCGTTCCCTGTAGAATTTCTTAACTCCTTAGAATTATCGGGGGTGCCTTCCCATAAGTTGAGGCTAAAAGTAGGTGTCCCGGTCCTGTTGATGCGAAATCTTGACGCACCAAGAATGTGTAATGGCACACGTCTACAAATTACACACCTGGGACGCAATATTGTGAGAGCAATAATTATGACAGGAACAGCAAAGGGAGAACAAGTGTTAATTCCCCGTATTCCAATAATCCCTACCAATTTGCCATTCCAATTCAAAAGAGTACAATTTCCCCTGAAAGCAGCATTCGCTATGACGATAAACAAAGCTCAAGGACAGACACTCAAAGTAGCTGGTGTTCATTTAGAAAAAAACTGTTTCTCCCATGGGCAACTGTATGTGGCGTGCTCACGAGTATCGAGTCCACAAAACCTACATGTTTTGACCAAAGAAGGAAAAACAAAAAATGTCGTATACAAAAACGTATTAAACTAAGTTAAGTCAGGGATCAGGGTCAGGAAAAGTCTACCTATGTTAATCTCAATAATTCAATGTGCCGGCTTCATTAGAATCGTTTCATTATAGTTTCAGAGCCTATTCAGTCCAAACAAATTTACACGAAGTAGTAGTTCTACGCAGACGAAGTCGCGGGTAACAGCTAGTTTTATATATATACAAATTACAAAATTTTGTCTATACTCGATGGCCCTCTGCTCAGTGCCCTGGGGCCTTAGGGCCGGTTTTTTGATCCGTAGTTAACTCAACTATTGGTAAAAAATCGTTACTATTAGTTAAATATCAGCAAAATGCGTTTTTTGATCCGTGGTAAGAGCATCCAATGGTAAAATATCTAACCATTAGTCAAAAAAAGTTAACTACTCAGTATCGGAGGGTTAAAAAGATGGCCGCTGGTAATTTATATAGTAACAGCTGTTTGTCACAGAAATCAAACTATGATAAATACGTTTATTACTATCTAATGATGAATTTAAACATATTGAGATACTTTAATTAATGAGACGATGAAGAAGACGATAATATTATATGAGAATGTGTTAATGAGTGACCAAAAATATTTAGGCAATGTCATCCGCCATTAGAAACCTGGGATGATGTAGATTTTTGTCACTGTTACCCCCTATCGAAGGGAACAGTGCTCTGGATTGTTACTGAAATTGGGAATGATCTTAAACTGCCAATGAACAAGAGTATATATAGACAGCAGCTCATACAAACCTATTTTGCTTCATTACTAACTACAGAACCGCAGCAGTATATAATTAAGTATATTACTAATTTATTGTGTTTTATTGCCTATAATATTAACTTATAATTATTATAATTAAATAAAATACAAGAACAAGAGTATATATAGACAGCAGCTCATACAAACCTATTTTGCTTCATTACTAGCTACAGAACCGCAGCGGTATATAATTAAGTATATTACTAATTCATTATGTGTTTTATTGCCTATAATATTAACTTCTAATTATCATAAGTTAATATTATAGGCAATAGAATACATAATGAATTAGAGTTAATATTATTTATATATTACTAATAATATTAACTTATAATTATTATAAGCACATACAAGTATGTACTTATACTAAAATCTACAGCTACACATTAGTTAGGGACCTATGATATTCTTTAGGGCTTTTATTACATTTGTGAGTTAGCATCTACCTACTTTATTACAAGAATTTATAAATAAAACATTTGACTTGATTAATAAACTGTTTAATTATAACTTAAATACAAACCATTTTTATTAAAAAAACATTACAAAATTTACTTGAAACCCTAAAGTAGCAATTAAATATTTTCTAATTGTTTCTTCTTGCATTTCACCTCAATTTGATGCAACTCTTTTTGCTGCTACATATATTTATTGTGCCTTTCTTCCATCTGCTGCATCACTTTTTGGTGCACCTCCTCTTTATGCAGTATGAATTTTTGGTGGGCCTCTCATTGGTGCAGCAAATGTTTATGATGCTCTTCCTTAGCATAATTGAACAAATCATCCTCTCTTATTTGTCTTTGTTTCAAAAACTCAATTTTTTTAATCCGTGTGGATCATAATCCGCTTCCTTGTTTCCAAAGGGTTAAAAGATTTTTTCCTTTTGTTGTAGGACACAGCTATACAAGAATAAATATAAAAATGTGCCTACACCTTCATTAAATGTATATTAAATTTAACACTTCGGTGTCTAGACCCATCTGAGTTGAAAACGTCACAGAAATTTCCAAGCTGCATCTTTTTGTAGATTGCTGCAGTGATCAGTTGTTTGCAGGTTACGACTGTGTAATCCTTGAGAAGCATCACCAGTTTGGCAGTTTCTTTTTGGCGAAGTTAGCAGTATGGTCCCTTTAACAAAACATAAATGTATTACTTTCTATTACGAAACACAAGATAAACCGGAATAAATAACACGAAAATATGTTTGTACTTACTTATTTGACCGTTGGCTGTTTGCGGACATCGTTATTTATATATTTAAGTATCGTAAAAAGTGTAAACCGTATTAAATCACAAAAAAACAACTTTATTTATATCGTGTTATTTAGATTAATTTGACACTTCAAACTCTTCAAAGCGCAAATAACGAATGAAGATGGCAAAAATGGATTTCATTCACTCAATATGTCTAGTGTTGTCATACAAAATAAATGTTCCCCACAAAAAAGAACCACATTTTTTGGGATGTCATTGCTCATTGCACTGGCAACAAATTGACAAATTGTTAAGTTTAACTATAGTTAAAAAAGGCATTGAAAAACGCATTTACGATTTTACCAATGGTTATTCATTTAACTATAGTTAATGTAACAAATGGTAAAACCATTTTTTACTACGGATCAAAAAACTGGCCCTTAGTCAAGATGCCTTAACAGTAGTGTATGTAGAACGTCAAAAACTAAATTTGTATGAAAACTTTCGACACGAACTGTCATTTCCATACAAATTAAGTTTTCGACTTTCTACATACACTACTGTTAAGGCATCTTGACTAAGGCCCCTGTATTCTGTATCTGTAATCTGTATGTTATATTATGATAATATCAACTAAAATAATTGTGTTCTTCGTGATAATATAAATATTGCAGCCCGCTTCACGTTGTGTCTAACAGTAGACAGAGAAAAGTACGTAATTAATAAATAAATGTTGGGTACATACTATATTGCGTCAGTGTTTTATTCTATGTTACATAGTCTAATTTTCATAAAGTCAAAAATCAATATGGCCGCTCGCCGCTGTTTAGCAATGAGCGAATAGCTTTGAAGTTTCGTGCTATATCTAATCGGGCGTGGAGTCGTGTTTGTTTGGTTATTTATTTAAACTTTACTGTAAGATTATTTTAATATTCTGACAATTGATCATATTCTGAGACGAATTATTTTAATAGAAACATTTAAAATTTTAGACAATGCGTCGCAGAAGCGAAAAAGGGGCTGGTAAGAAACCAAAGACCTCACCCGAGAAAAAAGAGAAAGATAAACCAGAAAAATTAAGGCGAACTAGGAGCAGGCGGAGGAAACAATCTTCTTCTTCTGAAAATCAATCTGCAGGAGAAACAGTACCAACAGAAACTTCTGTTGTTTCTGAACCTTTACCGGAGATTATTCAAGCTGCTACGAAAGAGGAAAGTCCAGAACTGTCACAAGAGCAAGTTTGGCATGTGAAGGCGGCAGATACTTCTAGTGATGGCGAAATTCAGAAATTAAAGATTTGTCTCACACGCCCTCCCTCTACGCCGGAACGTGTTGATAGATCCCCTCGCAGTAAAAGGAAGCATTCGCGTGCCACAAGCTCTAGCGATACCCCTAGTGTCGATGACGATGAGAAAAAGAAACCTAAATATCGAACGCGAAAATCAACCGCAGAAATAATAGAATCGTCAGACAAAAATGTTGAAGAACCAGGAGATGAAATGGAATCTGAGTCTGAAGTTCAACCAATAAAATCCAGCTCTGAAATCAGTCAGAGTAGTAAGGCTCAGGAATCCAAAGAATGCATACCGGATGAAACTCCCATGTCTACTACAAATGATGAGGTCAAAGAAAAAGTTGTTTCTAAAGACAATAATGAAGAAAGTATCAATACAGGAGTTGATGACAAACAAGTTCAGGCTCAAACGTCTGATGCTGATACAACTGTTGCATCACCAAAACAAGAGGAGGCAGTTATAACTGAGACAAAAAGTCCAGAAAGAAAAAGAAGCCCTTCATTGGAACGATCCGAGGTTCTGGAATTGCATGCTGAAGAAATAAGGTGTGAATCTTCAGAATTAAAGGAACCTCAGGAAGATGACTCAAACAATCCAGGTATATTGCAAAAGGATGCAGAAACTTCCCAAAATTGTAGTAAGGTAAGTATAAATGAAGCTGAAAATGAGGTTTCAGAACAAAAAGAGTCTCCTTCTGAGGTTCTTACTCCTGATAGTAAAAATGATGTTGTAGAGAATAACTATGAAGAAAAATTAGAATCCAGCAATAAAGTCGAGACCAACATTGACAATTCTGTGACAAATACAGTCACTTCAAACGAAGAAATAAAAATGGAGGTTGAAGCTGCAAAACCAACAGAAGATGTAAAAATGGAGGTTGAAGCTGCAAAACCAACAGAAGATGTAACTAATGGGCAATCTGCTCCACTTGTTATAAACAGAAAGAGGCGTTGGGGTTCACGACCAGTAAAATTACAATCTCAAAAGTCGATAACAATTTCAACTGATGTTCTTAAAGAAATAATACCAGATGTCAAGCCCACTGAATTCGAGGAAGTTATTGAAGAGAGAAAACATAAAAGAATTGAAGTCATAGAAAAAATTGAAAGACCAGTGTTGCCAAAAATAGTAATTGACAATACAGAAAATGTTAATCACAAGAAAGACGTAGATGAAAAAGACAAGGAAAATATGAGAAGTTGTGACACACAAATAGGTTCATCAAGAAAAATTTCCATTGTAAAAGAAAATGATAGTATTATGTCAAAGCCACCAAGTCCACCGAGACACCAACAATCAAATATTCTTTATATCACCAATCTGGTCAGACCTTTTACTTTACCACAATTGAAGAATTTATTGCAAAGGACAGGAAGAATTATTGAGAATGGCTTTTGGATTGATAAGATTAAATCAAAGTGCTTTGTTATTTATGAAAATGAAGAGTAAGTCTACCTTAATATATAAATAATTTATGAAATAACTTTGCATCAGTTGCATGTCACTTAAACACCTTGTTTATTTATTTTATTCATATTGAGTTATAAAACTAAGCAGAGTATGATATTATTTATTATTTCGTAGTCACAAGTAGAAAATACTGATGAGTGTGCATTGGTTAAGGAAAAAATAAAGTTCTTTTCTTTTCTCGAAACTTATTTTTTTTAAAAGACTTCAAAAGGACAGAAATATTGTCTGATGTAAACAATTACCCTGTAAAGTTTCTAAAGTTATTATAAAGAGTATAATATAACTAGCTTTTGCCCACAACTTTGTACAAGTGTGAATGTGTGATTATTCATAAATAATATTGCAGACAAGCTGTTGAAACAAGACATGCATTGCATGGAGTGACATGGCCCGTATCTAATCCTAAGTCCTTGCAAGTGGACTTCTCAACACAAGAAGATTTTGATAAGGCAAAAGCAAATGAAGATAAGAATAATGCTCAGGCCTCTACCATTCCTGGAACTGTTGAAGATTGGCTTCGCGAGCAAGATATGAAAAGAGAAAAGGGTGAAGCGGTAAGTTTGAACTTAATTAACATCACATTGAGAGTTGAAAATTGTACTTAATTCAAGAAACTAACAAATTAATGGAAAATCTTATTGTTTTTTCATGTTGGCCTAGTGGCTTAATTGAAGAACTCACACCCAAGGATGGGTGACACATGAAGTAACGGCTATTATGTTTGATAAAGGCTATTAGTACCATATATTTTAATCTGCTTGGGGGCAAAGTATGCTAGAAGGTTAACTAATCTACAGATTATCTACCTTGCTCAATCATAAATACAAACAATTCATAGCACATAAACTACTTGTTGATTAAGGAAGACAAGCAAAGAACCAGATACAATCTGCGGAAATATAATATAGCGGAATAGGGTTGTGGTGCCACGGGATTATTATTGATTGAGCCACTTTTAAACATATATTAATTTCAAGTAGATCCTTATTAGGATTGTTGTACTCAGTGCTACTTTTTTTTATAGGACAGACCATGGGAGAGGAAGGCAGCTATGCGGGAGTGGGACTTAGGGAAGAACGAAAAGATTAAAGAGAAAGAAAAACACCCCAAAGAAGAGAGACCAATCGATAAGCGGAGACATCGGTCACCTGAAAGAAGCCCTGAACCAGGTAGGATGGTATTTTGGTGTTTTTGTCCCTGGAGGCTACTCATGGCTTTGCCAGTACAAAATTAGTATACACACTGCCTATTCTACTATAGTACCTTCATTCTACTACTATAAATTGCTGTAAAATTTATCAAATTACTTCGAGGGTTTGAGTAGTAGATTTCTTATCAAAGTTAAGTGTTGCAAAAAAAAAAAAAGATTTTTATCCAGACAGTAATAGATCTCTATACCAAATTTAATTACAGTCTGTTTATGCGTTGTGACACAGTGGATGGTCGAGAATTTGACTTGCTTACAATTTTTGTATAGTTATTGTGGTGATTAATTTGTATGTCATGTCACAATCTTGTCTTGTTTGAGGTCTAATAGCTGCTCAAAACTAGATTTAAGTGTTTATGAAATTCGAGAATATACATACAATAACATACAATATTACTAAATTTGAATTGAGTGTTAGAGTGCCGACGAGGCAATTTTTGATGAATTTTAGTATCAAGTCGAAGTGATTTAGTATATAATTTTTATTTAGTTTAGTAATACATATATCAAATAAATATAAAGACCTTGAAATTGTCCTCTTACAGCGCGGAAATTTAAAAAGAAGGAAGAAGAAGCACCTGCAAAACTTTTAGACGACTTGTTCAGAAAAACTAAGACCACTCCTTGCATATATTGGCTTCCACTCTCTGCTGAAACGGTAATTATATTTAATTTAATACAGTACAGCAGCAGTGTTGGCCTAGTGGCTTCAGCGTGCGACTCTCATTCCTGAGGTCGTAGGTTCGATGCCCGGCTGTGCACCAATGAACTTTCTGACTATGTGCGGATTTAACATTCGCTCGAACGGTGAAGAAAAACATCGTGAGGAAACCGGCTTGCCTAGTATAAATTTTATTTTGTACTTTATGTATAGATTTCATTATTTCTCTTGTTAATTTGGTTACCACATGTCAGAAATCTTTGTTATTAATTATTTATTCAGATTTAGACAGGAAAACTATTATTTTGGAGCGCATATATATTCAAAAATAATAGAATAGTTTCTTTAAATTTAGTTAAAAAAAATCCATACAATAACTTATTATATTTTATTTTTATAAAGGGTTTTATCAAGGTTAGTTCGACTTTTGTGACTTATCACATTAATACATTTATTTCTAGGAATCCAACTTATCAAAACATATTTATAATCTTGCGCATGTAAAGTAATAGTATATAACTATCCAGATATAAACTCGCTATGAAATCCGAATTTTTTTAAATTGATTTCACATTAAAAATATTCGGATTTCACCTTACTACGTATCTTGGCATGACTTTGAGGTTCCAATGACTAACACAGACAACGCACGATCATAACAACTCTCAGCCACACTTTGACATACATGCGCATACACACTCAGTCACTCACTCACACATTCACTCATACTTAATATCTTATAAGATATAGTTGTAACACTAAAATTTACTTTAAAAAAAACTGTTTTAAACATGTACCATGTACCTCGGAATAATTGTTTTCTAGTTACCCATAGCTAGCGATATATATATAGTATTTTGTCACAACCCTTTTGTCATAAATAAAGTTTTCTTATTTCTATAAAATTTCAGATCGCAATAAAAGAGGAGCAGCGACGGCAGCACATGGCTGAATACGAGCGACGAATGCACGAATCTCGGCGTCCGCCTCGCAGACATTAAGCATGGTCCGTCTGTACAGACATACACACACGTAAACACACACACACATACATGCATCTGCATACCTTGATACAGTAACCACACAAATAACCCGACATTATTCTTACAATATTGCTTTAACATTTATTTTCAGGTTAATAAGTTTTTATTATTAGAAGAATTTAGATTAGGTTGACACGTGAAGACGCAAGAGAATGATGATTTAATTTAACGAAATGTTATAGAAAGGCTCGCTTGGAGGAAATCTTAAGGCGCCAATCGGAGGCTGCGGAAGATGCATCTTGTGCTTTTATTCTGCAGCTCTTGGATTTAAAGCGGATTGTTTTATTCGTCGACGATGTTAAACAAACGTTATGAAACAAAACAGCTGTTGCATGTTTTGTACGCATACAAACCTATGGAGTGAGTTGTGACGGCAAAAAAATTTTTTCTGCGTGGTCACCAAAGCAAGGCTTACTTGAACCTGGTTAAAACATCAATAATGAAAGATCAAGAATTTTTGGATGAATCGACGGAATCGAGATAAAAGTAGAAGGGATAAGTCTCTGGAGTGGAACAATTAGAGCAGTTTTGACTTTTATGTAGGAAGAAGATTTATTTGTATGAAATGTGTAACATTATACGAGTAATTGTTCAATAAATGTTTCCTGTGAGAAAGTTTGTTTTATTTTACTGTAAAAATGTATTGCAAATAACGCAATCAGAATATATTTTAAAATAATTGTTCAAATTTATACAAAGTATTTTACGACTTGAGGCAAAAGTTCAATTTCTTCTACCAAAAGAGTCAAAATTCTTGACTTGAAAAAGATGGTCACGGTTTTATATTGAAATCAAAAATTGAATTTCCTTGAGAATAAGCTAACAGTTGCCAACAAAGCTAATAAAATGCTGGGTTTTGTATTAGGGCCCTCTTCATCCTTTATAAACGTTCAAAGTACAGTAACTTTACAAAACACTTGTCCGTAGTATTTTAGAATATGCTACTGTAATCTGCTCACATTTTAAAATGCACATAAACACTATTAAAACAGTTTAAAAACGTTTCCTTAACATAGCAACCGTCTACACTTGCGTATATTGCAAACGTACAAGGCTCGTTTGGACTATTTCAAGTTCAGTATCACATACTCTAAAACTCTAACGTGACTTCATAGACCTAGTTTTTTTATATAACTTATATGTATACTAGCTGACCCGGCAAACGTTGTTTTGCCATGTATATTCTTTCTAAGAAACATTTTTTAGTTCAATAAAAATAACTATCAACTATATTAAAAAGTAGAGGTTGTTGGTAGAGTGGTGAAAATGAAGGGTTGTATGTATTTTTTGTATGCTGTATCATAAAACAATTAGGGGTAGACCGCCCTAAACATTTAGGGGGATGATAAATAGATGTTGTTCGATTCGCAGACTTACCCGATATGCACACATAATTTCACGAAAATCGATTAGTTTAATTACAAACACCGTGACACGAGTTTTTTTTAAATGATTTTTTATTTTTTTAATAATATAACATATACATATTTGTAACGTGGTTTATCATGTGCTTAATGATGTTTAAGTTTTTTTAATTAATTTTAGTTATTTATTTCTTATTTTGGATTGGTTACTTGTTTAATTTTTCCCTTGCTTATGTTCTAATAATATAATATATTATGTGTGTAAAATTTGTGATGTTATATTTTCTTGTATAATTTTATGCATAAACGTTGTTTTAAACTTATAAATAAATACAAAAGTGGCTTAGACGGTATCCAAACAATTTAATATTCTCTCGTACGTAAATTTGTTAAAGTTTTTCTATATTGCAAGGCATTCCTCTGGCCTATATAAATATATAGATAGCTTCAGCCTTGAAATACAATGTTATTGGTGTAGAAAAGTTAAAAATGCATCTCCACAATGTAACAGGCATGATAAAAATTAACATTTTTGTATCCATAAAATATATCTAATCGTCATTCTTTGAGACAAGGTTTTATTATATGGCTACTATAATTTATTTTAAAGATACTGCTTATCCGATAAGAAAATATTACTGATAGTTCAGCAGTCCTGTTGACGATAGAAAGCCGTCAACAAGTGCACCACAATGGTATGTATGACCTAAATATTAATAAATACACCAAGCGCAGTTTTATATAATAGGAAATGAATAGATTTCACTTCACTTCACTTTATTTATAATGGCGACTTCTGTGTAAATCACAATTCCGCCAATGTCGCGTTCTAAGTCTTAACACGGTAGATAGATAGATTTGATAGATTGAATTTAATCTAAGCAGAGTTAATGAATAGATTTGTCGACGAAATTTTTGACGTGTACGACGTATGCAATGTCTTGGAAAGAAGTCACTGCAATTCACAGATTTTATATTGTAGCTACTGAATAACGAAGACTTGCCGAACCTAAGCCTAGGGTTCCTATAAGTCCCGGTACGAATGTTTGCATGATTCGATGATAACTCTCTTAAAATCTTGCTAACAGCCAAGCTACGATTTTCACAAAATATATTCATTTGATAGATTGGCACGTTGTATATATGGGTGGCGTTGCTGGCACTTACAGCAGCGCAAGACCCGTTCACGCTTGAGGACTTTGTCTCTGGCTCTTTTTCCCAACGAGGATTCACTGGAAGATGGATATCAGGTAAGCTGAAATCAATAAATGGATTGCTTTTTAAAAGTAATTGGAAAACATTATAACAAATATGTAAAATGGTTCTCCGCAGATACGGAATTCACATTTACCGTGCCAGGAGAGTCCGGTATTTATGTGTTTGACGTTCCGACGCTCCAACGCCGAGTACTCGTTCCTGGAGAACTTATGGTAAGTTTCATTAAAATAATTTTACCGAGAAAGTATACTTATATTTTCCTAGTAACATGTTTTATGTACGAAACTGGGTTTTAGACTTCGATCTCAGTGGCTTTATTAATGTTTTATTTTTCAAATATTTTTCAGGGTTTCCTAAACACCAATAATCCAATATTATCAGCGGATAGAAGTTACATTCTGGCACCAAGTGAAGTAGAGTCTGTAAGTGTCATTTTAATTTAACATTATTACATAAGAAAGACAAGTCAAGGCAATTTAATAATTAAAACTTTAGGCATTTAACCGTCAGTATATAATTATATTCAAACTTATATTCTGGAATTATATTAATTTATGGAATTTATAAATGTTTTGCGTAAACCAAAATTTTGAATATAGTTATCACGATTAATTCAGCGTTGTATTACACAAGCACATAATATACATATTTTTATAAAAATATGGTGCTGAAAATGATTAATGGTAAGAAATAACTGCTATCACTTAACAATGATTAAATTTTACAATAAATTTGTGATAATGATACACTATTTAGATAATATAAATATGCTTAATAAAATATACTTATAATTATAACGATAAACATTTAGAGAATGGTTTGAAGTCAACCGTGGGCAAAAATTTAGCATTTTTACCCATAAATGCGATGGTTCAGATTATTAACCGAGTATTGTGTAAACTTGCTCTGCTGATTTGTAATTATCCGATAATTCGTTTTTTTGTAGCTCGTACACTTGAGAGCAGTTGCCCTCTTCGATAAATGGATATATCAACACAAAAATATGTTTACAAAACTGGAAGTTTCTGTGATTTACGCGCTTAACCTCTCCTAGCTTTAAACTATTAGTAAAGAGTTGTACAAGGATAGAATTCGATAAGATTTTTCTTTTTTAGCTCTGTATCTATAAGATGATTGTATTGTTTTACAGGTGTATCGTTATTCAACAACAGCAAAGTATACTCTCTACAATATCGAAACACGGTAAGCAACATGCTGAAACTTACTTTAACTTACCTCGATTGTTCCGAGCTGTTAAGCAAAATAAACCTACGTAGAACGTACATTTAACAAAACTCTGAGAAACATGAACCTATTACATATACCCAAAGTAAATACAAATTATAGAGGGAGCAACTTTATGGTTAGAACAGCGAACATATTTAGTGAGTTCACTACTGACATTGATATGTTCGCCACGAGTGTGGTGGCAAGGAGAGACACAAAATTATTCCTATTATTATTTGGCGTATTTCCCTTCTTATTTAAGAAAAACTATATTTGAAGATTTTTAATTGGCACACAATGTTATATATATATAATATATGTATATACATCTATTTCTGTATTATGCTGTAAATCTTCTGAATAAATAATTAAATCAATAAATTAACATACAGTAATATAAAACGTTCTTCTTGATCGGAATCGGAAGAAAGTTTCATACATATAAGTTAACATTAAATAAAAAAAAGCATGTGTCTTTTAAAGCATTGACCTTGTGTTTATAATTGTTTAATAACAAAATTTTCGATGTTGCTATTGAAGGTGAATTTTTAATAATTTTTGTGTATATGAAATAGGTTAAGCTTTTGACGATATATACGTGATACTAAAGTGCTCGCACGCATTTCTCATACAATACAGGTAAATTTGCTATTGCAGTTTCCTCTCCGTTAATTCGATGGTAGCGTGGTGTTATATACTGTGGCCTTGCTCAACGGGACTATCCAATGCAAAGATTTTATCATGTCGAAACCGTAGCAAATATAAATGCTTTATAATAGATAGGCAAATAGATGGATAATTGATGCCTAATTTGTTTCACAGCGGCGTTGTGAATGTTTCAAACCACGACCGCTTGCAGCTGTGTATATTTGGTGGAGGCCATTCTCTTGCGTATGTTCTAGACAACGATTTATATTATTTACCCGAAAACTCGACGGAGGCAATAAGGATCACCGATGATGGTATACCCACAGTTATTTATAATGGACACGCGGATTGGGTGTATGAAGGTAACTGTTTTATTCATTCATTATTTAAAAATTATCTATGTGTTTAATTTCAAAGATTCGAAGCTTTATAGGTGTTGTTAACGATGTATAGGAATTTTATATGTATCAATGTTTCTTTGGCAGTTATGCTATCTGCCGGCAGAAAATATTTGTCAGTTAAAAATAAATGTTCTATTTTTCAGTGTGAGGTGATCAGGGAAAATTTATTACGTTTTTTTTTAAGTTATACTTTTTTTGGCGCGTTAGGAAAAATGATGAGAGTAAATTTTTACGATGCGCGAGCACACCGTCACAAAAAGCCGACACCCGCACACCTTCATAAAAAACCGACACCCTGATGTTAGCTATAGTCAACATTTTAGTTTTTTTGAAGTTATTCTTCTTTTGGCGCGTTAGGGAAAAATGATGAGAGTAAATTTTTCGATTGTTTGTGCCGTTTTTCTACAAACGTAGGTAGAATAAGGCGAAAGATAAAAATTTTGAAAAGATTTTTATCTTGAAGCCTCGCCAAAGAAATATAACTTCTAACGCGTGTACTTAAGTACTGACACGTTTTTTTTTCTTTTAGAGGATGTCATGTACACGGGACAGGCCACTTGGTTTTCGCCGGACGGCAGTTATTTGGCGTTCGCGAGTTACAATGACACCCAGGTCGGGACGTATTCGTACTATTATTACGAAGACGAAAGCAATCCTGACAACTTGTATCCAAAATTAGTTGATCTGAAATATCCCAAGGTAATATATTTTTATCAAAAACATATCTTTTTGTTTAAAAAACTTGGAATACTCTTTTGCATGATTCACATTTGCAAAAAGACATATATTTCTAGCGTTTTTGTGTAGCATAAAACAGACCTTTATGAAAGTATTGCAATAATTACATTTCTTTATATCATTACGCCTTTTTTCCGACGGCAGAGACCACAATTGCATTAAATTGATTATAAAAATAACTCGCCTCCTTACAAAAAAGCTTGTAATAAAGAAATACTTGGTTTAGACAAAATAGACGTAATGATCAGTTTTTTAGGCATGTTAGTTGTCAAGAATCGTAAATAGCATTAACTCCCAATCCTGCCCAAATTACCTACCAATACTATCATAAATATTCTTACCTCTAATTCTCCCTCAGTTCGTATTTCTAGTTTTATTTCCCGTCACCAACGACCCATTTTGAAAACGTTTCAATAATTCCAGGTCGGTGACACAAACCCAACGGTAACTCTACGTGTGGTAGATTTACGGAACATACAGACTACTGGAGTTAATTTCCTTGTTCTCGAAGCTCCAGAAGAAGTTGGAGAAGACCATATTTTGGGAGGAGTAACTTGGCCTACCGCAAATGAGATTGCAGCACATTGGTTGAATAGAAGGCAAAATAAGACTGTATTAAGGATTTATAATGTACAGACTAATCAGTTCGAGGTAAGACCTGTTAATTTATGTAGTACTAGCGGACCCAACATACGTTATACTGGATGATATTTCAGCCGATTAGGATATGAAACAAAATATGAAATGAAAGACAAATAATATAATCAAACGAAAAATTATTGGGACGGTTCAGACTGGGAATCGAACTCACATCCTTTGGTTGCGCGTCAAGAGCTGTACCACTTAAGCTATCCGAAAAACCAGAACATCACGTGGCCGTTCACCAACCAGATGGACCGATCAAGTGAAAGACTCATCATCTTCAAAACTGTACACTGTCATAAGAGAGGCGCTGGACAGAAACCGGTGGAAACATAGTCCGCTCCAGATGCTTCCTTGCTGATAACGATGCTCAGATGAGCAGCCGATTAAAGAGACCTATAAATAAAATTTACATCGCATTCCAACTTATCAGTGATACTAAATGCTATCAAAATGCACGTTTATACGTCAAATACTCAAGTAATACATATTCTAATATATATTCTAAGGTTAGGTAGGTTGTTAAAAATGAAGGAGCATTAATTTATGAAGTAAAAGTGTCTCATTGTATGTGAGCACATCCCTTTGACTGTCTTGCCAGCTCAGCCTTCCAATCAGAAACAATTATTTATCGTTCTTTAGAACACCTTTATATTAGTGATGTCGCTCCGTGAAGCCTGTGAAGTGCCCAGGAGACTTCTGTGCTTCTGGAAGGAGCTAGGCTGCCTAAATTAGCCAGGACTTTACGTACAACGGACCAGTTATGAGTCTAAGTGTGGAAATGTCCACCAACCTATAACTTATATAACACCTTTATATTTAAATGTCATCTAATTAATATAGGATGAAGAACGCGAAGAACAAGACGGCTGGGTGCCGATCGCCTTACCTCGCTTCAGTAGGGCTGGTGATTTCTACGTTTCCACACGCTGGTCATTGGAACAGGCAGATGGACACGCGTGGCAGCATCTGTATGTGACTATGAGGGTTAATGGAAGCCAAGTCTCCAGCTCTGTTACACCTGGAGCCAGCACTGTGAACAATTTCGTTGGGATGGATGAGGATAATTTGGCCTAGTAAGTTTAATTCTTGTCTATCGTAGTAAGTTAATTTCTTGTATTTTTAAGTATTGAATTATGTTTTTCCTATTTAATATTGGATGTTTGCTTTTTGAAGTTATACTTCTTTAGGCGCGTTATGAAAAATTGATGAGAGTGAAATTTTACGATGCGCGCGCACCGTGACACAAAATTAACAGAATGAAGTTGCCCACGGAAGATGCTACGGCATTGGACATAATTTAAAAACAACATTCGAATAAAAATAGAATTTATGTTACACTTAATGTAAGAGAATAATAATAAATATTTATTTATTTAATTTTTCAAATGTAAACTGAACTTTATTGACTATAATGACTCCTTTTCCAGTCTTTGATTATTTAATTGTAATTAATTATTTGCATACATTAAAAAACTATTTTTAATAATGCCAAACTTCTTACGCGCGTACATAAGTACACGCACCCTTTTTTTGTTTGTGCTGTAAATTTTATTCACTTATTGTGCACTCTTGTCATTTTTGGAGTGTTTTTTATTAAGAAATAAAAATTTTTATAGTAGTAGTGCCGTCTATAGATTTTCCTTTATTAGATAGACTGATGATTTCTCGTGATTATGATTATTAAATAGTGTTTAATTGGTAGTTAAACGTTGATCCCTATTCCGCAATCGTGCATTCGAATACAAAATGGGATCAACTCGTTAACTGTTGTTAGAGTTATAAATAATATTTATATCTTCTACGAGAGTCAATACGTATTCTAGTCAATATTAAAAAACAATACAATACGTGTTTGACAATACATAAATAGACCCAAAACATTAAAAATTTAAAGAATGGAAATACACAGACTACTATACAATTATGTTATAGATAATAAATATACCACAGACTATTAATTTGTTCATTCAGCTACTACACAAGCACAATACCGGGCAGTCCATGGAAGTCAGCTGTTAACATAGCGGGTTCAAGGATCGGCTGTTTGTCCTGCGAGATAGAGATGCCAGAAGGTGGAGCATGTACTTGGGCCACTGCTACGGCCAGCTTAGGAGGAACTTACCTGACTATCACTTGCAGTTCTACTAATGAACCGTCGGCTACCTATATATACCAACCATTGGTTAGTAAACTTTAATAAATATAAATCACAATTTTATATTAGGACCAGCTTATGATTACACACATTAATATGTTTATACATCATTACAACCGTTCCCATTGCAAACGGGTATCCCGCACCCTTGAGGCAATTTCTACTCCCAGGATTAACTAACTGTTTTAAAATATACATATAATATATTTTGTAGTTGAAACACGACAGAAACCCTTGTTTTATTGTTACTTTGGATTTCGCTTGTTTTATTTTAATTTTATTGTATATTTGGTTACAATTATGCGTACAATTCTACGTTTAAAAATCGATGATACAGATATCATTATTGATTTTGTAAATTTCAGACTCAAACTATCTTGTACAACTGGGAGCTAAATGACCAATTACGGGTCAATCTCAGGAATAAAGTCAAGCCAAGGTCCATCATTACAACTGTCCCACTTGCAAACGGGTATCCGGCACCCGTGAGGCTATTTCTACCCCCAGGATTAGATATTAACAACACCACCACTAAATACCCCTTAGTGTACTACGTGTATTCTGGACCCAACACCAACACAGTCTACGATACATTTACAGTGGGTAAGTGTTTTGAATTGCAAAAGTAGGTTTGAATTCGTTTTAGATACAATATCTAATATAAATCTAAATCTCAAAATCAAATATCTATAGTTATATAATCATTTACTTTTCTTTATTATATCTTATACATCATAAAACATAAAGAAGGAGGGAAACATGCTAATCGATTATTAGAACGTGAGCGACAATAATGGTTTTGCAAAAGCAAATCTATTTAACGGAAGGCGCCATTTTTATTATTCTACGTCCTATCTTTTTTAATTTATAATGTTTGTATATTTACAATTATAGCAGCCTATTAAACAAAAATATACTACGTAGAAACGTTATTGCATTTTTATAATAATGCAAGTTTATAATATGCATATTTTCGTAAAAGTACAAAGAATATATAAATAACTAAAAACATCCATACAAACAAATGGAGGTAAAATTAGTCGATAAATACAACATCATTGCAAATTCATTCATACTAGACCAAGGGGCAAAAAGGAAACGCCGCGCCGCGAATTGGCGTGCTAGTTCGCTGAATTTAAAAGAATACGTACGACCAGGACGTAAATATTATCGCTAAGTTCACTTATTACAAATTAAGATTAATAAGATACGATTGCTTATTTTTTAGATGTTTATTATTGCTATCATCAAAACGAAATTTTGTTGCAATTTACATTCAATTCTAAATTAAACAATACAAATATCGTATCCATTAATAAATTGTGTTTAAATTTATATCAATTAACTTTGGTGGTTATATTTATTATCTCTGAGGTTTTTTTTAGGTTACCATTCGTACTTAACTACAAGTCGCAATACAATCTACATGTTGGCTGATGGAAGAGGGGCGGGTCTCAACGGTAAAGATATGCTGTTCTCTATCAACAACCGCCTTGGAACAGTTGAGATTGAAGATCATTCTGTTATTTTAAAGTAAGCATTCATTAGAAGGAATGTAGACAAAACTGTCTATAATGTAAAAATGATTTATATTTGTTTGGTTTAACACAAAACCCATACATTAATTATTCGGTGCCTATAACGAAATCTCTCTATAACGAATAAAATTACTCGGTCCCTTGAAATTCGTTATAAAGAATTTACATTGTATATAATTGTTTTATAGTAATTAAATATAATACGTTAGTTATTACTTCAATCGCCAATATCAAGAAAAATTAATATTATGAATTAGAGCAGAATCATTTTGATTACATTTTGATCAAAACAATGATTTAAATTTTAAAATCCTGTCATTTTGCACTTGACACATGCCATCGAATTCAGACCTGTCGTTTTCCTCACGATGTGTTGTTCTGTGCACATACAAATAGAAGTCCATTCGAACCCACAGCCACATACTCAGGGTTGTGTCTCGCACGCTTTTAAGCCTCTTGACCAACACTGCTCTTTTGCCTATTTTTTTTTACTGGATGAATTGCTTATAATTAATAAATATAATTATTTATTATTTCAGACAAGTACTAGACCGCTATCAGTTCATAGACCGAAGCCGTGTGGGTATTTGGGGTCACAGTTATGGAGGCTACGCGACCCTTTTAACTCTTCTTCATGATGATGAGAATTTATTCCAATGCGGGGTCTCTGGAGCACCTGTAACTTCGTGGCTGTATTATAGTTAGCTATTTTTTATTTTACATATTATACCCTAATCTAAGAGTCCTTACTTCATATATATATAATAATATTAGGAAAACTTTATGTTTAGAGGATTCTTTGTTCTTCTTAACCAATTAAAAATATATATGAAATGACGCTTAAATGTATCTTCATGTCCCATTTAGAGGAATTTATATATCTACATTAAAGAATTGATTTAAACAAAATACGAAAACTTTTATCGATAAATTTGTCCAAATTTCTCAGTACATTATCTAAGGTATTGGTTTCTAGAATTAATTAGTACAACGCTTAGTCATATTTTAAATATCCACTTGAACACGCAAAATCTGTCCAACCGTTTATTAGGAGTTAAATTACAAAACACATGCACAGAAGATTTCTAGAAGATGATGTGATGAAGATGTCTAGTTACCTAAACAACAAATTGTTATCGACGTTTCTTAGTTTTACTATACATATACGCAGTATAATAATAGATTTCAATGTATTATTGACATATACACTATTATAGATACAATGTACACGGAGCGGTACATGGGTCTACCAACTCCCGAGGATAATCTAGAAGGCTACCAGCGTGGTGACGTCACACTTCTAGCGGAGAAGCTGCGCGGACGCAACTTCTATTTAATGCATGGCAATGCGGATGACAACGTGCATTACCAGAATGCAGCTAAGCTCATGAAGGCGTTGCAAGAACGGGATATTCCATTTGAACAAATGGTAAGTTCCTAAAAAATCAAAGCCGTAACAAACAAATTGTTGATCCTTTTTTCAATTTCGAATTCGCTTGTCTATTGTTTTAATTTTGAAACTTAATTGTTTTATTTAAATTTATAAAGCGAAGAGTCAAGTGGCAACATTGTTAGTAGTGCTCGCCAAGCAGTTGACAGTCGTAGAGTACTTGTGTAAAATTTATTGTTTTACTGTGGATTAGAATATCTGTCTTTTTCCAGTCATATCCTGACGAGGCACACAGTCTTCGAGGTGTCAACAGGCACAGATATAGAACCATGAATGTCTATTGGGAGAAGTGCATTGAGATGCCGAAAGAAGATTAGAAATAAGTTTGAAAATAAATTTTTATTATTATATTTGTTTTTTAATTTACTGAGACATGGCACATTACGATCTAGCCTAACTTAAGACTAATAATTAATGTAAATCTAACCTAATTTACTAATAAAGATATTTTACATAAAGTGTCCAATAACTACTAACAGTCTCTATTAAGGGGAAGACACTCTGTTCTCGACTAACGTGCACTAATACTAATTGAAATGGTTTTGTTCTTTTCAATCTTATCACAAGGCCCGTGGTGTCAATAGCCTCGACATTCACGTGATGGCGGAACCTTTTTTCGTGGGATCCATGCTGATTTTGAAAATGTTTGTATATATACTCAGTAAAAAATAAAACAAACAAACTACCATTATGTAATTCTTATATAAGAAGTCATAACAAAAAGAATGGAGCTATATCTAATTAGCGCTGAATTCTTTTAGTTGGCTTATTCCAAAATTATTATTTTTAATTATACACCAAGAGTAGTCAATTGGTGCATTGCTATTATAGTCTTTAAGGAGTTAAACAACGTTATAAAATATACATTTTGATAACTTAAATAAAAAACGGAATCCAAAATGTGGGACGTGTACATACGAAAGTGTCAAGGGTCTAGTACGAGTGTCTGTGCTTTGTGGGTGTTTGAGTTGATAGTGGCGCTGCTTGGATAAGTCAAGATGGCATGGTCTCCCCAGTAAGTGTAGAGTTTGAATGTGGGAGAATTTTATTCAGAGAGAGGTTAATAAAGAATCTTTAATAAAAAAAACCTGACTATATAACAAGCATTGTACAATTGGAAGGGGATAGATAAGTGTTCGTAATATTATAAACGCGAAAGTTTGTAAGTATGGATGTTGTTTGTTACTCTTTCAGGTAAAAACTACTGAATGGATTTTAATGAAACTTTTAATAATATAGCTTATACATCACAATAACACATAGGCTACAATTTATTAACATATTGTGTGAATTGTCAAAAAAATCAAGTAGCAAAAAATCTATCTGCGAGCTTTTCTGGTGTGCGCTGCCAAATCCGCTAGTGTTACACATATGTACTCGTTATGATGGAAATGTTTATATTAAATAGCCCGCACACAGTATAATATATCTATAGCTTGTGTAAGCCATTATAGCCCAAATAGTTTACCATAACTACTTTAAACTACAACAAAAATTGATAATTTATTTCAAACGCACATTTGGTAGTAATAAATTGATTTCTAAATAAAAATAGATACTTTTATGCTATGGCTTCTGGTATTTAAAGTAGTTAAATTATGTCTTTCACGTCACATCATTTGGACAAATATTATTTTACCCCTGCGCAGACGAGGACGCGGGCACCGGCTAATATGATATATATAGATACAAAATTTGATTTGAATTACTTTATTGTTTCTATTCGTAAAAAAATCTGTCTATATAAGGGTATTCACGATTTGATCTACTTCGAAATCTTGGGGACTAGTTACATTCCACAGATGTAAGGCGAGCAAAAAGTAGACTGGTTTTCTTAATAGGAAGTAGAATTTAGTAAAGGAAGCTAACGGGTTTTTTGTCAATTACATATTTGACGTCCTTAGGAACGGCAAAGTGACTTTTACTTCCACGTACACGTTAATCATTCAGATCTATAAAACACGTTTAATGATATTTTAAAAGTATTCTTAATGCATACTAATAAAATCATAAGATATTTCTTTCCAAAATAAAATTGTATGGTGTATATAATAAGTTTCATTCATTTCATAAAGATGCTATCAAAAATACGAGTAATATGGCGGAGAAAGTTTGACTTTAACGTTTGTAAGCGCTGAGACACTAACATCTGCAGCTTATAGTAAAGCCATTACTCGGATGTATATAATAATAATATTCATTATAAATACTAAGAAGTGAGCAGTGTTGGCCTAGTGGCTTCAGCGTGCCTCTCATCCCTCAGGTCGTAGGTTCGATCCCCGGCTGTGCACCAAGGGAATTTCTTTCTATGTGCGCTCGAACGGTGAAGGAAAACATCGTGAGGAAACAGGCTTGCCCTAGCCAAAGAGTCGACGGCGTGCGCTGCACAGGAGGCTGATGGCCTACTTGCCTATTGATTAAGAAATTATCATCAAACAGATACAGAAATCTGAGGTCCAGACCTAAAAAGGTTGTAGCGCCAAGGATTTATTTATTATTATTATTTTTCTAATATTAACAATACATTCTTGATCCTACGAATACCTCCAGCATATAAAATAGGTCACGTTCTTGAACGTACAAGACACAACACTATATGGATGTATGTATGCAATACTTGCATCAATTTGAGAGGTTGGCGCCCGACAAAGTGAAAGGGAGCCGACTGATCACGATTATACAATATACACTATTAACTAACAATAACGCATGAATACTTCCTTAAATCTTATTAGAATACTAGTTGTACCAGATTTAGATTAAAAACAATCTAGATAGACGTTTATTTAGGCCCTCTCAAGCTATTAATAGATAGAAGAAACCTTTAAAAGATTTATTTATTTATTTACAGCCTCAAATGTAAAACATAATGTAATGTATGGTCAATTATGAACTAAAAATATTATAAAACCATTTTACAATTAAGTGAATTTTATAAAAAAAAAATAGCCACCTTTTGCTATCCATTAATAAATTAAACCCTCATACGCTTCACAAAAATAGTTTAATATTATAAAACTAATATACAATTAAGTGATTTTCATAAAAAAAAACAAAATCTTTTAATATCCATAAATCTTTTCTAAGTACATTTTTAAATCAAAGTATATTAACCCCATACGCTTCACAAGAGTCGCTCTCCAGAAGAGTCAAGAAAACTATTAAGCGTAAGAGTAAGCGGGATAACGGAGCAAGTTGACGCTGGGCAGTGCGAGTCGAAAACACAGCAAAAAGGTTATAATAAGGGTTATAATAATAATAACTACTTTAATCTTTACAATTTTTTCGTACTTATAGAAAAAACAAACACTTCTAATTGTCCTTATCGACCTTTGAGATCTAAAAGCAACAAGTTACTGGAAACTTTCCAGTAACTTAAAGACGAGAATTTATTATGTGAAACATAACTTTTACTTTGCATTAAGATTAAAAGGCGATTAAAATTAATTATATCCGGAGGCGAAACCATTAATTGGGCGATATATAGTATGCACCTCGTGACCCCGACCTAAGAGGTTATACTGGTATCATTTGATAAGAAGAATTGTATAATATTTTTGTGTTACGTGTGCGGAGAGTACAACTTTAGTTTTAAAGTACCAATAATAAAGAATTATATGGACTAAGTAATATTTTCTGTATACATATAAAATTTTCGTTTATTCAAATGGAATCTTCCTTGAGAGGAGTAGAAGTTAGCTTGTGGACGGTCAGGAGGAGGCTTTTGGCAGCTAATATCAGCAGTTACCGCTCGGCCCAGGGCCCTAAATTACTCCGTGATCACCGTGTTGCTTGACTTCAGTTTGCTCAAAACTGTGCTGTATGGACTCTGGAGGAATGGAACAAAGTATTGTTTTCTGATGACACTACTTCACTACACTTTGCTACACTTTGAACCCACGCCGGTGAGTGCTGCGAAGACCACAGGAATCACTCCCTATGGCGGAGACTCCGTTATGTGGCTGGAGTAAGTCCGTCGAATTACTCCAGCAACTAAAGCGTATGGAGATAGTTTTCGTAGAAAATGGAACATTAAATGAACGTACCGGTGTTCATTTAATGTTCCATTAACGGAAGTCTTAATTTTACATGCACAACTCGCATTGAGTGCTCTTTAGGAAGATTCAGAGTATACGCAAGGGATGGGAGTCCGTTAACTGAAATCGACATTAGAACGTAAATTATCTTAGTTAACCGCAAAAGAGTTTATAGTTAGGTAAATGGTTCTTTAGTTTTTCGAAAGCAGGAGCTTCGAACGTTGTCATTATAATATGTTGTGTAACGAAGCCATAACGGTACACACACACGATACACGTGCGATGCCAATCGTTACGTCAGTGGAAAATACGTTTAAGAATAAGTTAATCGAATTAAAATTCGACATGACGATAAACGAAGTATATATAAACTATTTATATAATTACTTTTGTATTTTCATACATATAATTATTGTGAATATGAATTCACCACAATAATAATTTAATAATGGTATCTGGTTTACGCGAGTACTAAACGTTTTATTAGGTCCTTACATATGAAATTGGCGTTGTATAGGAGGAACAAAAAGTCAAATATTTTTAAATATAATATATTTAATTAATCAAAGTATGAATCATTGTTTTCTATGCACTTTTGCCATCTCAAAGGTAGTTCATTGATCCCTTTACTAAAAAAAACAGTCGGACGGGAATCAATAAAATCTGTGAAGGCGATTTGGACTGCACCATCAGAGTTAAATTTTTTCCCTTGCAAGAAGTTGTCCAAATTTCGAAAAAAATTGAATCCAATTGAAGCTCTTCTAATTTGGTAGCCGTCTGTTGTGCAGTGTGTGGTCTAGCGTTGTCGTGAAGTAGCAGTGGCGTAGAGCGATTGACAAGCCTAGGTTGTTTAGCCGCTAGCTTTTCAGCATTATGGTTTGCAATTGCTGACAATAGACATCAGCCGTAATAGTCTGGCCAGATTTGAGAAAACTGCAATGAACAATACCGGCACTAGTCCACCAAACGCTTACAAGTAACTTTTATGGGGTTAATTTTCGCTTGGGGCAGGATTGCGCTGGCTGGCCAGGATCCAACCATTGCACTGAGCGCTTCCGATTATCGTAAAGAATCCATTTTTCATCACAGGTAATGATTCGGTTTAAAATACCTTCATTATTGTGCCGGTTCAGTAATGTAACGCAGCAGTCGACGCGCGTTTGCCGGTTTGCTTCAGTCAATTCGTGAGGTACCCATCTTTCAAGCTTTTTAATCTTCCCAATTTGCTTCAAGTGAATTAAAACAGTTTTATCACTAACACCGCAGCCTGCAGCTAACTC